CTGAATCTGGATCCTGGCCAGTTTACAGAAAAGCAGGAGAGCGAGGAGATGAAAATCAGTCACAGATAGGGCAGAAGTGACAAAAACGCAGTTGAACAAATCGTACCGCGTGCAGATGGCGCACGTGTATGTGTGAAATTAGACGAGCGGGCGAGAGGGCGGAGGAGTACGAAACTGCACGAAGATAAGGAAGAGAAACTCAGCTGCTTATTATCAAACGACAATCGTCACCGCTAATAATAACAATAATAATATTAGTATTACCATTTGTCCTTATTTAGCATGAGAATATGCAGGATGACTAGATCAGGCGGAGGAAGATGTGTTGCGCGAAATGGAGAAGAATATTTGTGAATGAGGGCACATTTGTCTCTGTCATGCTGTCTTCTACACCTCATGTTCAGAGTGATCTGGAGGTGGATGAATCATTGTACTCATCTCCACACCATGATGGGCGGTGCTCATCAATTGTCCGGCCACCTGCCCCTCATTGTCGGTTGGCATATAACCGTCTGCGGCATCGCCACCATGTTCTTCCGAGTGATACGTCACAGTTCCACCCAAGTCAACCGAAGGTGGTCGTTCGCCGCCATTATGGTGCGCATCTCGAAAATGATCCACATCTCCGGTGGTGGTGGTCGGTTTTACATGCTCATCCAGATCATGGGATGAGGCTTCAGTGACCTCAGCAGATTCGACAACACCAGATGTGTCAGTTCTCTCTTCGGTCGGCCGTATATCTCCGGGGGCAGTTAACGCATCCTCGTGATCGGCGGAAACTGCAGACTGTTCGACAACGTGTTCATCAGTGGATTGTGGCTGTGTTTCCTGTTCTACACCGGTAATCTCAGGTTCTGCAGATCCGACATCTGTTTCGACGTGTGCGGTGAGTTGTTCACTTGCCAAGTTAGACTCAACCGGATGTGATTCAGTTTCCACGGCTTCCTTTGACCCGGTGTCATCAGATACTGTGATTGAGTGGATCAGGCAAAAAGGGACACAGAAAGTGAAGGGTATCACGGAATTGTTCAGTGCAGCCGAATGCAAACAGACAACGAACGATCTACCAGTTTGAATAGGAATTAAATGCGCAAATCACAGCTGATACTCAATTAAATATTGCGTAACTTCCAGTTATCATCAGTCGGTTCACTAAACGAATGGTCTCGGTGAATAATAAAGGTGGCGCAAAATTGTAACTTCATTTAACTAACCGCTAAACTATGTTGGGATAAGCTCGAATTTTTGAGCAGGCCGATTAAGAAAAAAACAGATAAACAGTGGTTCGGTAAATTAGTCAAAAGAATGGTGGACAAATAGGCAAATAAAGAGAGAAAGGACCATTATGGAATAGGACTGAGAGAATCCGGGACGAGAACTGGAAAATGGGATTAGGAGGGAAGTGTGCAAGTACAGGAGGAATAAAGCCCACGTGCTACTACTATGTGGATACCCCTCGGGGGTTAAGCAGAGCTGAATGCTACCAGGCGCGTCCCCGGGTTGTGGATAAGAGGATACCTTAACCGGAGAAGGTTAACTGTGAATAAGTTGTGGCATATCGCAACGAATAAGAAGTCGCGAAAAAAAGCGGCGGCACTACCAGGGTGTGGTGAGTTTCAGGCTGGTCACCTGGCTCCTGTTTAAAAGCCGCATAAGCCCAATGA